AAAACGATCCAACGGTCGAATCTCCTCCAATTGCTAGAATTAGGTTGCTTTGATTTGACTTCTCCGGTGATCCGCTGCTTCCAAGGTTGTTTGGGCTTTGTTCCTGGCCTCAAGGATAGTCTAATGGTGGTGGAGATCGATGTGATTGCATTTGAAAATGCCCGATCGTCGGCGTCGTACCACTGCACCCATAGGTGCGGTTCTTCCTGAACCCGAGCCAAAATTTGTCAATTTTTGGGTGAGATTGGTAGAGGGAAGGTCGTGAAACGTTTTCCAGGTGGTTAGATAACGTGGTTCGCTGAAAAAATCAATGAAAAATCGCCGGAGGTGATGAAGAGGATTGGATCGGGTCAAAAAAGGGAAACGGGCTGAAAGGGGTCCGAGTTCCCCTTATTCTCTCTTCCCTCATTTCCCTCATTTTCCTCCCTTTTTTTTCCCTTTCTTTCTGATTGGGCACTCTCCCCTTCTTCTCTCCCGTTTCTCTCCTTCTCCCCCTCTTTTCCCTGCCATCTAGCAGCCTCCTGTCTTTTCTCTCCTTTTTTTTTTTTAACAATTAAAATGTCTCTAATTCCTTCGTTTCAATTCCGATTCGCGAACGGTTTTCACCTACGCTCTCGTAGGGTCGAGCTCAATCCAATTATACTTAGTGTGACCTGTAAGTCCACGAATTTTTAATGGTTACTAATCAAAATTCAGACTTCGTAATTAGTTTAATTAAAATCTAAATTTAATATAAATTCCCAAAAACAATATAAAATCTCCTTAATACAAATATGTAGTTTGCAATAGTGAAATCCAAGAACAGGATTTCACAGTTGACTTTCATTGACCATCGTGCTGTGACACGTTGACTCATTCTTTTAGTATATTATGGTGGTATTTGTCACTACAAACGTGTGGGCGCAAGCAGAATCGAATTTGGAGTTACGATGAACATTTTACAGAATTACGAAGTCGAAGGGCAAAGTAGTCAATTCATTATTCTAGATATTATGGTTCGATATTTGTATTATTTTAATAATTTTTTTGGTGGATTTTTGTGGCCCGTGGGGCCCGCATCCCACTTCCCCTTCTTCCCCGTGTCTCTCTCTCCCCCAGTACTCGCGGACTCTCTCGAACTCTCTTCCCTCACTATCTTTCTCACTCTCTCGAGCTTCTTCTTCTTCCTTGTCGAGATGAAGCCCAAAAAACCACCAACTCGCCATCCTCTCTGGCGAGCACCGCAAACCACCACCACCATATGTGGGCCTTCTCTCTCCCTCTCGTGACTCTCATTCTCTCCCTTAGCTCTCTCTTTCTCTCTTCAGTCCCAAACTCTCTCTTTCCTCTGTAAATCCGAGGAGACCACACCGTCATAGCCAATTTTCCATGGCAGAAAGAAAACCATGTCACCAAGCATCAACCCTCTCCTGTATCCTCGGAACTTGAATGTAGACCCCCATAAGGTATAAAGGACTGGTTAAAACAAGAACATGGATGCCCATAAGGTATAAAGGACTGGTTAAAACAAGAAGAGTAGACGGGGAAAGAGGTAGCAAAGGAACGAAAGGAGGAAATAGAAAGAAAAAGGCCAGATCTTCCACCGACCACGGCCACGGCGAGGGCCGGCGACGACGAAATGAACAGGTTGGAAGCAACTCACACTAATGGTGGGAATGACTCTCAAGAATAGTGAAAGCCTCTCACACTCGGAGATGAAAGTTTTTACAGATACTACTATTTTGCTCTATGATAACGGCTAATTTAGTCACCAACATTCTCATCATTTGTAATTACTAGATTCTTTCTTTCGTTTTTTTTTCGTCGAAAAGGAGCAATTCGTGTTCGAAATGAAACTGGCAACAGCTTATTACCCAAGTCCCAAATCCTCACTACGGTTGAAATGAGCGTTTTGCTTATGATAATGAGACAGTTGAAAAGAAGCTGTTAAATCTTTCGAGTGTACATTGTACAGAAACCATCTGCAACACTATTAAACATATGATACAAGAGAATACATTTTACAAGCTGACCTCCAAGGTTAAAAAATGGGGGAACTAAACCAAGTAAAGAAACAAAACCATCAGAAACCTCTACCTTTTTCCCTTGGTTGTCCGTAAGTGCTCAACCAAAATCTCCGATCTAGGGCAAAGTGCCCATGAACTTAGAAAGCAATACAAAACAAGAAAGAAAGTCTAGATGCATTCCTCAAATGCGGAGGTAGCCCCTTCTTTCTTGAACTCCAATTCCATGGGTTCTCTTTAGGAATGACTTCCTATTGAGGGACCAGCTCCTCTTCATGACCCTGCTTCTGTGCCAAGCAGCTATTCGGGTATAAAGAACAGGAAAGCTGAAGCAGAGAAGTGCCAAAAGAAGCATAGCTACACAGAGTAACATGACATTACGGAAACCATCTTTCAACGTTGGGTCTTTTTGTCCTGTCCATGGAACTCCCCCCACATTCATGCCGAACACTGCAAGGGATACAAGGGTTTGTTGTCAAATGCTTCGTGCTCACAGTGGAACATATAAGGATGCCTCACAAATACCTGCACATGAAAATTTAAGCTAACAAACAACTTTACCTCCAGTAATGATGGATAAAGGAAGGAATATTATAGAGAGGAAAGAGAGATAATACAGTTTCCTGTTTATCTGCTCAGCTTGCCAGCTGTCTAGACCAGCCTGTATTGCCGTGACACGATTTGCTATAAAGCCTACATTCTCCTTTAGCCTCCTCAACCGTCCGATCAGCTCTTCAAGTGAGGCAATATCTTCACTCGAAAACCATTGCTTTGAGGAACATCTTTCTTTGACACGAGGAAAAACTTGCTCCCCATGAGCAATCTCCTGAGGTCAGTAAAATTAAAAGGACAATCAAGAAAGTTTATCCCACATGGTCATTCCTAGAATGAGAATTTACATCAGTTAGGAGTTACATTTTCTACCCCGTTCACATTCTTCTAAACAATCAAGGAGCATGTATGATATGACACATGTCTACAAACTACGATGTTTATGTGCTATTAGGCCCAGTCTCCAAAATTGCTGGTGGAAAAACAATCAAACAACAACAACAAAAAAGCCTTATCCCACTAAGCAAGGTCGGTTGTATGAATCCTAGAACGCCACTGCACTCGGTTTTGTGCAATTAAGTATTTTAAACTCATGGAACTGGCTCCAGTGAAAGAACGGAAGAGCAATATACAGTCACCCTCGTCCTAATAAGCAACCCAACGGAAGCAACCAAAATATTCCTTGGTGAATAGGGCGAAAACTCAAACCACGCACATACATACTTTAGAAAAAGGAAAAGCCAACAGACATAAAACAGGTGCTATTGCAGCAACACCTCTCGCTTTGTCAGTATACTACGAAGAATGGCATGGATTGGTAGGAAATACCATTCCGGCACAATATGAGGCGGGGTGGGCATCGGATTAGCAAGTTTATAATTGTCGGGATGCTCCAAAACATTAGGAGCATAAAACATCCAAATGGAAGAAGTTTGTAGTGTGCTAGTTTCTTTGATTGGGTTGTTTGCCATCGTAAAGGAGAAATAACCTCTCAAAATATGCAGTAATGCTTTACTTGGTTCCTCTTTGTTCCACATATTAAGAAAATGATGGACTGACAAACTACCTGTAGGAGCCGCTGCAGATTTAGATGCATTTTGGGAAATCTCCTGTCATCCAGCATTTGTTTCTTTAAAGCAAACCCACCTGTTACAAATCAGAACACCAATGCATATTATTTGATCAAATAAAGTTCTAAATATACATAGAAGACTTTAGAAGTCTGCCTCTTTAATATAATTTTATTATTTTATTATAGTGCTAACTATGTACATTATTTGAAGGATATGCATGGTACTACATGCCGGTGGAATTTGGATTCGATCATAAACTCATCGTTGACATGCATGGCACTTATAAACATCATGCCAGATTGATATACTACAGAAATGGGATGATATATAACTGACCTGTTGGGTTTTTCCAGCCCATGATGAGTTGTCCTAAGTCCATTAGGAATTATAGTCTTGGAGGATTAAATTGTTTACCTAATTGAAGTTGTTTTCCAATTGGAGTTGTTTTCGATTGAAGTTGTTTAGCCAGTTTAAATTGTTTACCCAGTTGAAGCTGCTTTCCAAGTGGAGTTGGTTTCTCAATTGGATAAGGATTCATAACCAGATTCCAACTAGGATTAGTAATCCTTATTGAGGATGACCTTTATTATGTCTAAATAAGGGGCTATTGCACTAATTTTACATTAGGAGCAAAATCGTTTGTTGTATACCACTCAAGGAGTTGTGAGAGAAGGGCAAAGTGTGTGTGAGAGAAAATAAAAGAAATCAAGAGTGTATTTCTTGTTCTTGTTCTTGTTCTTTCAAGTCTTAATCCTATTCCGTTGTACTCATTATTGATATGGTGAAGATTGTTGTTGCTGCTCTGTGGAAGTAGGCACATATAGCCGAACCATGCTAATTCTTAGAGTTATTTATCTTGGTTATTTTTGTTTGAAGATTTCTGAGTTTGTTCGTTTTCCTATTCTTAAACGCGATATTCACAACACGACCCTTTTTGTTGTTTTTCTTTTATGAAATGTATGAATAATGTATGAATCTATGATACATCCTAATCAGTCATTTTTAAGCAACTACATTTAACAGATAAAAAAACAAAGGATAGAATTGTTAGTTATTGTATATGGAATTTCACCAATTCCTAATGTCCATTCTCTTTTTAACCTTTCCTCAGTGGTTTGTTACACGAAGTCAAAGTCCTAATTACAAATGGGAGACAATACAATTACTGAAAACGTCAGCAGTTTAAAATGGTGTCTAAGGAATATATATCTTAGCAGTTCAAGATTGCATCAGTTAACTAAAAGGACAACGAAGTACGTCCCACCAGTTACTGAAGGTATCCCAAATCAACTGAAATTAGAATTGCTTATAACAGAGAACAGCACTACCGATTAGAAATATGAGGAATGAAATATGAAACTAGTAAGTTTTATAACATTTTCTGCACACTGGATGAGAAATTAGAAATTGAATAGAATCATTTTTTTTTTGGTTACAAAATTGACTAGAAATTTGTTAGAAAAACAACATATGCTGGGATAAACAATGAATAGACAGAAGAATGCGTTAAAATGAAATCTATTGGAGGTGCTTAAACGTAGTAGATGAAACTCACCTTTATCCATCTGAAGCTCAACGGAATCCAACTCTATCTCAAGTTTAGTCACAACATCTTGGAGGTGATCCACATGCGTGTCAACAATATGAACTACAAGATTTGAGACAGATTTTGGCACAGGATTATCGGCTTCCTCAGAGTGATTCATTGTCAATAAGAACTCAAGAACATGCTCCCCTATGACAATCCCGCTCCTTTCCCTCTGCTCTCCTCTATGATACGAGGGACTCTCCACACTAGGAATCTCCGAGAGAAGAGATTGACCCACCGGTGAGAAACCCAATCTGGGAACGCGGCCCAAACTCACAGTGATCACTGAATTCTCAGTAATTCTTGCGGCAATTCTAAATGTGAAATCACTAGAGGGAGGGCCGGGAGAGTTGACTCTGAAGACTAGAGCCCCATCAACATACCCACAAAATGGTCCATTGCTGACAAGAGAGAGAATATCCTGGAGTTTCAAAGGCGGGCAAAGAACGCCAATGAGGTCTTGGGCAGACTGACAAAGCTTCTGATGTCCTTTTGGAAGTTCAACATGGTACCAACAGAACTCATTGCCTCTACCTTCTGTCAGATCCCATTCCTTATTGTAAAACTTTCCAGAACCATCAAAGATATAGGCTTTCTTTCTCACCATCCCCCCACAATGACTCCGGTAGGAGTGGGGCTCCCGGAGAGGAGCCTCCGCAGAGGGCTCTCTGTCCATTTCCTCCGCCTCTCCGTTGGTGACGGGTTCCTCTTCAGGTAGCTCCATAATTGTATAGCTTTTATAATATAATCAACCCAATACTATCAATACAAGTCCACAATTATATCAAAGTAAATTATAGGCAGATAAATCCTGAATCCACCTTCCCACCAATCATATAAAACCTCTAATCAATCATTTTTCAGGTCCAACAAAACATTGCAGGCTTCCAATTACATTACAAATGGCAAAGATGGTGCAAGTCAAATCAATACAGGAAAGGCTCTTTAGATCCAACAGCGCCAGAAATCAATATTACTAATCAAGCTTGAACAGCCCACATATTCAAATCATCCCCAAATCATCAATCCCTGAAAACACACGACAACTATTATTCAAGTCACCCCAAACAATATAAACAAACAACCCAGATGGAAAATTGGGGAAATGAATAATCTTTTTACCTCATGGGATGCTAGCAATCCAGCACCGCACCAAATGAGAGGCAGCAGAATCCATTAAAAAGCGGCAGAATACAGAAAACCCCAGAAAGTTTTAGAGCAGCCACACGCTGTTGAACAATTCCAAATGAAGATTGTGACGTATTGGCAGCTTGTTTATGGACCCTTTTTGTTTTATCAAGACTGACTCGTGAGATTATGGGATGTTTTGGGAGATAAAATGGCGGAAAGAACAAGAAAGATGACACAACACACGTTCTGCACATAACGTATAGTTTCCGGGAAAGTTCCGCCTCTCCAACTGAAAAACTACCTTCAAACAAGGAATAAATATTTATCTACATATACTAGCATATGGGCTATGAGAAAATTTTTTATTTTTGTTTTTGAAATAGAATGAGAGAGGAAGAGAGTAATAGAGACTGCGAGAGTGAGAAGTTTTTTTTATATTTTTTTTTATGAATTACAGCAAAATTTGGTTGTGTGAAATTACATTTCTGCTTCATATTTCTTATTCATGTTCTGTTTTAATTACATAGTTAAACTAGTAATTTCATATGATTTTGGTTGCTAATGAATGTTTTATTAATTAGAAGAGATTTATATAATAAACAAAAGAAAAGAAAAAAATAGCAAAAGGGTAAAACATGGTCAAATTTGAGAAATATTTCGCATTTTTGTTTTAAGTTGAGATTAGGAAACCCACATTGATGAACGAGGGATTTTGCATGATCTTTTTTTAGTGTAATTTATCTACCATTTCAGGTACAATATATTCAATTTATTTTTTTAAAAAGTATTATATATTAATCAAATCACTTATTACTATTATATTTATGTTGTTCAAGTATTATTTAATTATTCATATAATTGATTCCAATTGTATTTGTTTGATCGTGGAGATAAACACGGAAAGATGGATTTGTTGTATAGATTCTGTGAGGTGAAAGAGTGAAAAGAGGGATTCACCAAATTACCAACGTTTTATTTCTTGTTAATTTTTTCCTCTTTATTTGGCTACATTTTATCCCTTGGCTATGAAGCCATATCCCATATATAGTGGCGAAGCCAAAATTTTCAAATCATGCGTTAGGATTCTGACCAAAAAAGAATTTCATTGGACCATTTTGTCAAGCACCTAGTGGGCACATATCAATTGCTATCGACATTTGCTGAAAATTTAGGTCAATGTACGGCGACTACTACTCTGATCTATACAAGTTTGTTGACGGTAGCAGCAGAAATTGTAGAGTAATGGTTATGACTGTCAAGACTTGTAAACTGAGGCATTTTATCGAGCACTTGGTGCACATAATAGGGTTGCACACAAAAATAAAAGAAAGACAAAGATGATAGAAGAAAATAAAATTAGAAGAATGAGAAAGTTGTAATTTAGTTTGTCATAACTGTTTACAAGGGTCAAATACAAATACAAAAATAAATATACATAGGAACTAAAAAGTTGAGGTCATGGGCAACCAATGACCCAATGCTAGTTCAGTTACTGCCCATACCTTTACAAATTGTTATTATCATTCTAAAAAAGTCGTTATATGTTATTGTATAAAATACATAAATAAAAAAAAAAAGCAATTTCTAACATATATGAATATGTAATTTCTTAAAACTAGCACATGTAATTATATGTAAAAATTGTTTGTCTCACGCTCTTTTGATTGAGTGCAAGTAAAATCGGAGGCATCCACTAAGGTAAATATGTCATACACATGGATTCATATAGTTTAAGTTTGTGTTTAGAATTATTTGTTTTTAATGAGCTGCTTTCGTTTTGGGTTTACTAATTATTATTTTTAATAGGTTGTTTTGGTTATTTGAGTTTGACTTAACAGTCCATTTTTACTTGATTGGCGTGGTTGCTTGGTAAATATAGTTACTTAATTAGGCTTTATTTAGTTAATGCTTTGAACTAGGGATGGACAAAATACCTACGGATATAGGTAACCGCGGTTATTCGCTTATTTAAACTTAACGGTTACGATATGGATATAACTGTTTATTTGTAAAATATAAATAGGCGAACATGGGTATACTCACGAAGACAAACGGGTGCCCATTTAACCATTTATATTATCTGTAAATTTTAAAAACAAAAATTGAAAATTTGAGGAGCGACTCGTTGTCGGATGAGAGAATACTAAAAATTCAAATTCATAATCTTACCAGATGCATGAGGAAGAGGAAGAATTGAGAAAAAAAATTGCTTTTGTCATTGCGAATTTCTAATTGTTTGGACCTGGAAATTTTGAAAGTGGGTGGAGTTAGCTCATCGTAAACTAATAGTCCTTGTGTTGTCACTCAGTGATCTGATAGTATTTCTCTTCACTTGAAAGTGAGAGGTCTTAGGTTCGAATCTCTTAGATAACAAATTCAATACCAAATTAGGCTATCCATTGTGTGGTTTAGCCGAACTCCCTCTTCCCTTATTGTAAAAATATCGATGTACTCCAAAAAAAAAAAAATAGTCCTTCTGTTTGGATTTTCCACTTTCAGACTATGGTTTCTTTCTTGCATATATTTTTTCTGTAGCCACCAAAGTTGGGATTAGGATTTGCAATGTTAAACTTAAAAGTGAAGCCAGAATGATCTGCCTTGCCATTGGTTTATATCAAAAAAGGATTGGTCTTTCTTGTTGATCTGCAGCTACGGGTTGAGTTTCACAACGAGTTTAGCTATTTCGTGATACTTAGAAAATATTTTATGTTACCTTCATTGTTAATAGCTAAAAATATTGTTCATTTACAATTATATAAATTTCTAGAGTGATGTGAGGGCTTAAAGGATTAGAATAGAGAAAATGCATGTTAAATGTACTTATAACATTAACAGCGTTCAATTATCAGAAAGAAAATGATGACAATTCGTTTTTTAACTTTCAACTTGTTCAAGAAAAAGAAAACGGGCAAAAAAAGGGTAAACGATTATGTGGGTAAGAACTCAAACAATTATAGATAAATAACCGCAGTTACTCGCCCACCATAATCGTTGCACATCCTTACTTCGAGCTCAAATGGTAACAAAACCTAGCAGATATATCATCCACTATTATATGAATATTTTGTAGATTGGTTGTATTGTACTGCACAATGCGCATGAGTATGTGTTTGTACCTAATTTTGCATCATCGGCCCGAGCGATCAAGATCGTAAAATGAGCGGAATTCTAAACTGTTGGATAGAGAGTTTTTAAAATAACTTTGTTATTATGAAAGGATAATATTATGGTTTTTAATCGTAATAATTATTTTTGGTAATGAATATCTTTGACATTTTCTTGTACAAGATAAATGGAATACAAACTATATCTCCAACTCGGAAGCAAGCAGCACAGTTGAAACTGATTTGGGATGTTTGACGTGTGGACGTGTGGATTTGATCAGTTCAGTTTGGTTGACAGATTCACGTGGCATGTTATAATCATTATCATTTTAGTGAATGTTGTTTGTTTGCTCAAAGTCACTTGGAAGCTGTTGATAGGATTGGATTTATAAACGGCGATGTGATCGTGGAATTGCAATTAAGTCGCAATTGGTTTGCATGGGTATATCTGGACAAAAGGGGGCCTTTTGTTTGGAATATAAGGCATTACTTATGGCCATGGAGGATTATTGTACTTACAGTGGAAGATTATCTCAAAGAAATAATTTCAAGTGCATGAAGATAGCAAGTTTCTGCATTATGACATCTCACTCCTAGAAGATTGGCTTTCACTGTGGTGCACGTTTCTGCATTATGACATAGCCATCCACAACTGTGAAACAACTTTGCTAATGCAGTTGTAATCTGTTGCAGAATTTGAAGAGATGTTAATAGCATAATCAAAATAGTGAGCTTTTCTTACTATTTATTTTTGGGGTTTTTTGTCCTTTGGAATGAATATGGTATGCAAATAATATGTTAACAGTCTTTAGGAGATACCCTAATTTGATTGCTTTGTTGGTACTTCATTGTTCTGAGGTGGAGGCCCAGGCAGAGTTTGAATATGTGGCTGGCTTAGCTGCAGATGGATGGGTGCATGCAAATCATATGCATTACTGATGCTATGGAGGCTGGGAAGTTTTGTTTCCTCCAATCATATCCCTTGCTTCATAAACCTGAGATTAAAATATTCTGTGTTAGTGTTTGCCAGAGAAGACATCTTCACATTCGCTGATGAGTATAATTAACATAATGGCTTTATGTTTTAAGCTCATTTGGTTCCTCTCACTTTCCCTTTACCATTTCCTCTCTCCACCCCTTTGATGAATTATAATGTGTTAAATAGCAGAGCTTAATGTATAAACAATACCTTCTTTTGCAGTTCCTCATTCTCTTTACCTTTGAGGTCTAGCTTCTTATAGAGTTCTATATTCTCTTGATGTATGAAATTTGTCTAAAAATAAAGTAAAAAACAACATTAATAAGTATCAATTAACCCCCAATAAAATGAATTAACATTAATCAACTGGGAAAAATCTCAGCCAGTTTACCTTCTGGTTCAATTCTTTTATTTCATCATCAAATATCTGGTTCTGCATAATAGAAAGAAAAAAAAACCAAAATGAGTGCCATGCATGTGCTATATAAAGAAGGGAGCATGAAATTATTAACTAAGACTATAATCAGGGCTAAGGCTTTTGATACCTTTTTTGTCCGGACACCTTTCAAACTCATCTCCAGCTGGCTTTCCAAATTCTGTAGATCTTTGGCACTCAAACCAGAAAGTTCTTCCCCCATTAACTGCCTGCATAATTTACAGAAGGTGTGGGGGTATACTCTAATTGTTCTCACAAACTAATTCATATTTACTAAATGTTACTTTGTGGTGTATGAGATACCATGTTTTCCCCAATAAATCACTATCTCACATTTCATGGGAAAACCTCAAGTGTTTTAGCAATATTTAAGTAATAGTATCAGGATATTGTGAAGAGATTTTGCATTTTAGTTGGTTTAAAACTTGGTCTCTGGCAAAATCGCTTAAGGAGGAAGCATAGGGAACACCCAGATCATTTAGGAGTAGGACAATGTGTTGTTAGGCTTCATTGGGGACCTCAGTTATTGGGTTGGTATTTGGATGAACCGTGATTAGTTTGATACCTTTTGAATAAGCAACATGAAATATGCATTGTTATGTTTTGGTACTTGAATCAAATTGTTAGGCTATGTTGAAGATTCAATATAAAGCAATTATTGTACCTGTGACATTCTTCCAAGTACCGCAATTGTTGCCTCAAGCTTGCTACCTCCCTTTGCCAAAACTATTAAGTACAAATACAATAAATGTTGTCATGCATGAAATATGGACTCACTAAATGAGCATTTATTGGAGCAATAGAAAATGTTAGCCATTGTAAAAGCACACATCAGGAATCTGAATCATGCGTATTTTATTTTATCCGTAATATTTTTAGGAATGAGAAATTAGGTTCCGATCTCTTTTTTTGCTACTCCATTTATTAAAACCTTATTATTTTTCAATTTTTGATCAAGGTCCTTAGGTTTTAATAAACATCATTAATTATTTCAATAATAAAATATTTTTTTATTTCTAAATATATTCATTTAGTGTTAAAAATGTTACATTTGATATATTTCTATTTATGGCTAATTTTTTATTATATATTTTTATTTTTAGTTTGTACCCATTTTTAATTTGCAACCCTTTTTTAATTTGTACCAATTTTTTTCAATTTTAATTTGTACCCATATATTAATTTCTTTTTGTGCCCAATTTTTTTAAAGTTTTATTGTATTTGTACCCATATTTTTTAATTTATTTGTACCCATTTTTAATTTTGCTAAATGTACCCTTACTATATGTATTTATTTTATGTCTTAAAATATATAAGTAGTTATTTTTTAAATATGTTAATAATTTTCTGGGTACAATATTTTCTTGCTATAATTTTATGAAGAACAATATTACTGTAATATTTATTTTTAAGTATTTATTATATTTTAAAAATATTATTTGACTTTGTTTAAATTTCATAATTTGTGGGACATTAAATGCATAAATACATGAGTTAAATTTCTTAAACAATGTTAATGACCTCGATCAAAATATTTAAATAAACAAAATTTTAGTCTAACAGTTAGGTTGATTAGGAACTAGAACTAAAATGACCCTTTTAGGAAATATATCTCCTTGCATGTTTACACAGACATGCGCTTGATCAAATGCTTTCACACACACACACAAACAAAAACATGCATATAGACAGATTGGATTAATTCTCAAAGTTCTCTAGCTTATGGCCATGCAAGTGTATCCCATATAGGCAGATATGAATTGTTTTTGGGGCCATGCAAGTGTATCCCATATATGCGCTCTTACTTTTATCATTCGTGAGTATTATTATCCCTTGTTTGATACCAAACGTGCATCTTATGTCTGCTCTGAAGGTTGTCTTTTCACTTATTTAAGCTACTCGGTGACTAGTATTGGTACAAAGTTGTCGAGAGCAGGTATCTACGTAATTCTATTGTGAAACAGCAAGAACATTACCGATAATTTACCCTTTATTGAAATTGAAGGATGTGTTACTTGCCATGCATATTATCTTCCCCACTAAAGAAAAATTGACGACAATATTCGCCCTATATTAAGTTGTTCAGAAGTACGGCAAAGTTGTTTGTTGAGTGCATAAAGTTACACTTTTATGCCCTCTTTTACTTATGTTTTTGACTTAAAATCTCTAGGCATTACAAGGTATTTTGTTATTTGTATTATATTTCAGGATGAAAGTAAGGACTTGAAGAAATCATTTTATTTTGAATATCTTAAGAGCCTAGAATGGATAGTTTGAAGCCCAACTCACCCAAGACCGGATCATAGCCCACAAATGACCCAAGATCCGCCAGAAAAGACCCTTGCAGAACAGCCAACTTGCGAGCTTTGCCCCGAAATGCTCAGAACGAATTAGAAAATGGGCGATATATGGTTGGAAAGCCCTGGAAGTCTTCTTTATGATGGTATTTAATCTTGTGATTTGGAGGTTTTGACAAGAAGTTATGACAGAATAAAGATGAGCTGTTCAGATACAAATTTTGATAACAGCTAGTTTTTAGTTACTCCTATACTAAAAGCTGTTTGTAATGAGCTAAATGAGAGTCAATTCAAGGATATAAATGTGTCACATGTTAGAAAAACTCGTAAGCCTTTTAATAGGAGAAAAATACACATAATCAGAAGGAGAAAGAAGAGGAGAAAAAAAAAAACACAAAAAACACAAAATCTGGAGAGAGTAGGAGTCTTCAGCCTTGAGTGGTTTCTAGTTCTAGCTTTCCAAACTTTTTATGTATTTTGTTATGTTTTTAATTTAGTTTATGGATATTTAGGGCTGCTTTGAAGCCCTAGGCATGATTGAATTAATGTTATGATGCAGTTTTAGTTTATCAATTTCATTTGCAAGCTAGAATCAGTTTTCTGTTTCAATCATTTCAAGCAAATATTTTCAAGCTTAGCTACCTTGTTTATGTTTGCTTTTTGTTGAGAATGATACGGATGACTACCATATCTTCTTTCATTCATTAGCAACATGTGGTTAGGTTCAGAACTAATTATGTAAATTAATTCCATGAAGTTCTAGGATAAATGCCATGTTCTAGGGTTCATGTGTCCTTTTCGTTCTTAATGAGTTTCTAGATGCTAAATTTGAGCATATGCCATACTAGGTTGCACCTATAAATATAAGTTTTATGTATATGTCATGCATCTAACATGCAAAGTAAGAGAGGCATACAATCTAGTTATATGCCATGCTAGATATGTGAACATCTTAGTTGTGCATTTGAAAGGGATAAGTTAAAAGATCATATCACTGATTCATGAATGTTCAGGGGAAGGCCTTAGCTCATTTTAAGTCAGATTTATGTCCTAAAAATGTTTCTAATCTATTTCATGTATTAGGTTTATTTTTAGATAGTTCTAATTTTTCCCTTTTCTAATGGTCTTTATTTCTTTTCCAAAATTACTCAAACCCCCCATTTTAAGTCATAGGAGTCTTTAACTAATGCTAATTTGTAAGAGTCAAAGGTTTTACTAAGTTGTTTCTCAGTCCTTGTAGTTTTACACCCTTACTTGTGCCGCTATACTATCCTTATATTTGCACTCGAAAGGAACTTCAACATTGTTTGGTAAACTCTAGTAGCTCCCACATTTTACTGAAACCCTAGGATACAACTATGCCGCCTTTTTCTCTTCATCGTTATTCATGGATTTCACAAGATATGAAAATTGCTTGCCCACGCCATGTGGGTTCAGCTCAAAGATTTTCTTTGTGCACTTGATTCTTCAATTTTTCTTCCCATCACTCGAGGAATTCTCGTGGGAGGTCTTGATTTACATTTCCCAAAACCATATGTTACCAATAACTATGGAAATTGAATTATTCCCTTCCCTCGTAATGCAATCCTGCCCTAAAGTTTTTTCATTACATGGGGCATGTCCGTCCATAATGCTATTTCAAACTATCTAGACTAATCCTATCATGTACTTTTCCATACAGTTAAATTTGCGAATAAGGAAGACTACTTTCTCTCTATTTCTATGTTTGCTTTTCTATAATCTCTCCGAAAGGATGTAATCCAACATTGCTCAGGACGGATTATGGTTGCTAATTAATGTTTGTTACTATACATAAGCAAAACCATAGAGCTACGTAATTAAACAAGTGGTATGCATGCGTATAAACATATATGAAAGTATCATTATCCAAGAAGCTTATTACTTAGTGTTTTGATGAGTAGATTTTATACTATATATTTTCTCCTATTCTTGGTATGTTTTAGTGAGATTTTGATGCTTTGTTATATATTTCAATTATAGTACATGCGAATCAACTTTGAGCAAAAAGTAGTCAAACGATTGAATTTTGGAGTAATTCCAATTGGAGTAGATTTGTGAGTCTTTCACGAAGATTGTATCATAATTCCAGCATTTAATATCAAGCCGTTTGACCGTGGCAAAGAAAAGAAGGCCTAGCGCGTATCTTTTCCAGATTGACATTTTTTGACATTTTAGGTATTTTGAAGGTCAAGATGACATATTTTGAGGAAGGTTTCTTCTGAGGATTTGGTGGGGACATCTTTAGCTTTCAAAAGAGAAATTCTGGGTCCAAATCAGAGTTGATATGGTCGGTCAAAAGTCTGATTTTCTTACAATCCGAATTTGACTTTAAATAGGAAACCTTTTTATTTGCTAGTTTATTATTTTATTATATTTTCTAGTTTTATTCTAAGACCTTTTCTAGGTAGGATTTTATCTTGTAATAATATAAATAACGCTATTTAGCCATTAGTGTTCTCTACGCATTATTCTGGAGAACTCGGTTTGGAAGGCTTTTGACAATTCAAGTTTATTTACAAGGTGTTTTCTTTCCTTTTTCTATTTCAATAAAATTCCTTTTGTTTTATGATTATTTGTAACTAATTTCTTCTTCTAGGGTTAGGCCACGAGCCTTAGCATGGCTATGTAGTCTTTATTTAAATGCTTATGATAATATTCATGCATACTTTGAATTATTAATTACCGTGTTTAAACTGTCTCTATCTTAATGCTTAGCTACTATTAGGATGTTTCGATAAGTAGTTGGATGCAATTCGGTTGGAATATCATCGAGGATTGAGTATTGCTTCTTGTGGTTAATAATTGTAATTTCATTTAGGATGAATATCACATCTTAGGGGTTGCATGGTTTTTCAAAGGGTTTTCACAAAACTTAATGAGTTTTGTATGTTCATATTTGATATGAGTATCACCGACGGATTGCATGTTAGATATACGTTCTTGCTTGAATATCAATAGGAGAATATGCATTAGGAAAACCTAAAGTTGTGTGTGTAATTCATAAGTAATTGACAAAACTACGTAGGACTATTGAGGTGATGGCGGAACCCTAGTGTTTTCTCAATTTGATTTTAAAAAACTATTGAGATTAGTTGGCACTTTTGAAAATATGTTTTGATTTTTAATGTTTTCTATGCTGGCAACTTGAAGGAGAAAGTTTTTGTTTCAAAGTTAATTTTTTGTTTAAGTTACTACTTTGTTAGATTTTATTTTTCTTTTGAGTCTTGATTTGCTTGAGGACAAGTTAAAAGCTAAGTTTGGGGGTACTTGTCGAGTCGATTTTATACTATATATTTCCCCCTATTCTTGTTATGTTTTGGTGAGATTTTGATGCTTTGTTATATATTTCAATTGTAGTACATGCGAATCTACTTTGACCAAAAAATTAGTCAAATAAGGAATTCTAGAGTAGATATGTGAGTCTTTCATGATGATTGTTCCATAATTCCAAAATTTAACTCCAAGCCGTTTGACCGTGGCGAAGAAAAGAAGGCCTAGGGCGCATCTTTCCCATATTGATGTTTTTTTTTTGACATTTTGGGTATTTTGAAGGTCAAGATGGCACATTTTGAGGAAGGTTTCCTCTAAGAATTTGTTGGGAACGTCTTTAGCTTTCAAAAGAGACTTTTTGGGACCAAATCAGAGTTGATGTGATCGGTCAAAAGTTTGATTTTCTCTGCAGTCCGAATTTGACTTTAAATGGAAACCTTTTATTTGCTAGTTTATTTTATTATGTTTCCTAGTTTCATTCTATGACATTTTCTAGGTAGAATTTTATCTTGTAATAACAGTATAACTAAGGGTATCTAAGGGTATTTAGCCATTAGGGTTCTCTACACACTATTTTGGAGAAGTCGGTTTAGAGGGCTTTTGACAATTAAAGTTTATTTACAAAGTGTTTTCTATCATCTTTCTATTTCAATAAAATTCCTTTTATTTTATGATTATTCGTAACTAATTTCTTTTTCTAGGGTTAGGCCACAAGCCTTAGCATGACTATGTAGTCTTTATTTAATTGCTTATGACAATATTCATGCATACTTTAAATTATTAATCACCATGTTTAAACTGTCTCTATATCTTAATGCTTAACTACTATTAGGATGTTTAAATTATTAATTGGATGCAATTTGGTTAGAATATCACCGGAGGATTGAGTATTGCTTCTTGTGGTTAATAATAGTAATTTTACTTAGGATGACTATCATGTCTTAGGGGTTGCATGGCTTTTCAAAGAGTTTTCACAAAACTTAATGAGTCTTGCATGTTCATATTTGATCTGAATATCATAGACGAATTGCGTGTTAAATATAAGTTCTTGCTTGAATATCATGACAAGAATATGCATTAGGAAAACCTAACATTCAAAGTTGCATGCGTAATTCATAAGTAATTGATAAAACTAGGTAGGAAATTGATAAAACTATGTAAGACTGTTAAGGTGACGGCGGAACCCTAGTGTTTTCTCAATTTGATTTTCAAAAACTATTTTCTTTTATGTTTCTTTGCTCTTGCCGGTTTCTTTAATCTTTTTAATTAAATTCATTTTTAATATTTTAGGTCAAAAAATCAAGCTTTTCCAAACTTTGTTTTCAAATAATTAATTAAGACTTGATTTTTACATAAATTATTCATTCAATTCATGCAGAGAACGACATTGCTAGAGTCGACTATACTATGATTACCTTCTCTTGCAAGTATTTTTATGCTATTTTTACAGGTGGTAAAAATCCTATCATATTGGACGGTATCATATATATATAAAATGTCTGTATATAGTATAATTGCAGGTATTCAGCATAAAGAAGACTGGAGCTGTTTTTGTTGAGTGGTTACCTTGAGTTCTGAAGCAGGATTCAGCAGTTGATGGTGCTCCTCTCTCTGTTTGTTGAAACGATCGATAATTGATTTCATGCTGATAAGAAATTCATAGTGTATGGCTATTAGATGCAACAATCAGGTATCTTGTGAAATATTTTTTAGTAAATTCATAGCGTTATGGTTGTTAGTTTATCAAGCATATAGGGGATATACTTGTAATCCTTGTTAACATTTTGTTTTAAACGGGCTTGTGGAAATCTATAAACCCGCTTTTCTACACAGATAATACTGTGGGAGGGGCAAATGCTACAAGCCCCTTTGGATTATTAAACAATCTGGCAATGCTTTTTCATGCTGTTATATATTTTGGTCATTCGGTCATTTTAGTTGCTTAAATGATGATCTCTATTGGCCTTGATTTGCATTCACCTTCATAAATAATTAGTAGCTTTTGGTTTAGAGATATTTTTCTTCCCAAAAATAGAAGAGGCCTCATGTTAGAATCTCCCTCGCACTTGGTTAAAAAGAAAAACAAAAGAAAGGGATGTCTTCCTATATCCTGGGTAGATCCATTAAGGGTGTGGGGAGGGGGGGGGGGGGTCAGCTGACCTCGAAATTCCGATGAATCTTAATGGACGACTTGGGTGCTACTCTTAGAAGGTTTTAGCTGTCCTTCGTATATGCCCTCCAACTGTTTGTTAAAATGCCTCTAAGAGGAGTTGCCCTTGTCATTAATTTTTTTAATGCTGACCAAAACGACGTCGTTGTTGTATGAAAAAAAAAAAAAAAAAGAAAGACAAGCAACACTTAAAAAAAAGAAAAAAAGAAAAGCAAACCCTGCCCAAACTCAACCAATTTTCAAATCCCAATCCTGCCAAACTCAATCCATAACACCCAAACTTCTACCACCCCACATTGACTTTGATCTATGGGGTTGCTACTGTTTCAGTGGAGAGAGCCTATTTCGCTATAAGTATTGTGAAAAGTCTATTGCGTAACTGATGATAAATCAATGGTTGAGTAATATCGTGGTGGTTTGTATTGAGAGCAATATTTTCTCTTCCATTGATAATGAAGCTATAATGCAGCATTTTCAAAATATGAAAACGTGTCATGGACAATTTGTTAAAAACCCAATCCATAATTATTTGAATAAAAGAAATTTACTGGACTAATAAGATTACAATTCAACCATTAAAAGTGTACAAATCTAACGGTCTCAAAATTTGTCTTTTTTATGTCGCCACAGAACCGCCCCCTATATATATACTTATGCAATTGAGTGAGAACTTGTAGGTAGAGAATTCTAACATCTAAAAACTCCGCCTTCCCCATCATGCATCCTCCTTCGTACGTACCAAGAAAAGAGCATTTCCTAAAGCTCGAGCCTGCATACTATTCCTCAGTTTAGGCCCTAAAGAAATGTGATATTCATAGATGACTTGTTTTTAAATTGTCAAACTAACTACAAACTTCTCATTCAAACTTTGATGAAGTGCAACATGGAGGTGACGCCAGTTGAAGGAGGTACGATCAAGTGAACTTTGTCTAAGAACTTTGTCTTTTTAAGAGCTGTGTCCTCATGTGGACAAACAAAGCAATTGAGGAGGCAACATATATATATATATATATATATATATTAATTAAGACGTCTAAGTAATTAAGGAGAAGCATGCATCTACTTATTTACAAATTCTCATCGTTCATGCCTCAGAAACCCCTCTTCGTTGAACATTACTAAATAATTAAATTCAATGTACTTCTTGTATCATGCATTAGCTCCATTCTGTCTATTTATCACTATATGTAAATAATCAGCTCTTACCTATATATATCATAGTTGAATCCTATATATATATATATATATATATATAGAGCACAATGTGAGAAGCTTTCATATGTTTATTTGTAACTTTTTTTTTTCGTTTGGAAGTTTTTTAAAAGCAATTTCTTATCAGGTATAATGTCTTTCTGAATTTCTATGCATATAGACAAGGAAAGGTTCTACACAATCCATGACCACAAAACAGGAGGCAACCAAATACCCAAATAACATCTTCGGTTAATTCCACAGGCTATATATAGATTCATAAAAATAAAAAAAGTATTTTATGCAATAATAACATCTTCGGGCAAGCAAAAATCTTCACATGAGAACAATGTTTCGCTCCAAAGAAGATTAAAAGGACGCAATAGCTGATATGTGTTGTCTGAATTAGTACAATATAACAAGTCTACCTCAAATATTTTGCTAGAACATGCAGCATATATATTCTGTGTCTATATCGAACAAGTAGCTCTAGTTTCATTGCAAACTCAACCCAACTAAAAGTTCACAGGCAATATACACACATATATAGATAGATTGATTGAGAGAGAGAAAGAGAGAGAGAGAGAGAGAGAGAGAGAGAGAGAGAGAGAGAGATCTAACCTAGTGCTAGCATAATCGTAAAGCCTGCCGGTGCTAGAGAAGACAATCAATCCAACCTCAGCATCACAAAGGATTGATAGCTCCTTAGCCTTCTTAAGCAACCCATTTCTTCTCTTCGAGAAGGTCACTTGCCTGCTCGTCGAATTGTCAATCCTTCTAATCACAATCTTTCCTCTCCCCATACCTTCTTCTCTATTAGATCGGTAGATACATAGAGAAATTAGTTACTCATATTCAAGAAAATTGTCCCATTTGCCTAAATTGGTAATCAAAACCTAAAGCAAACAAGACCAAAAGCATGCCTGAAATAACAGTAATATGAAGCAAAAGGAGATCATCAACTAGAACCAAAAAAATCCAAAAGAACAGAGATCATATTTATCCCAAAAGAGAAGTCTTTTTTCCCTTTCGATTTTTTTCCTCAAAAAAGCAAGGCTTATAATAAACTGTAGAGAGCTTACATGGAAGAAACAAGCTATAGAGAAAACAGTAGCAGATCCCCTATTTCCTTAATTTCCTCAGATGTATGTACCTATATTTATAACTATAAATGCTTTATGGAAAGCCACAGAGTCATTTTCTGTACAAGTGGAAATCCAGTTTATATGACAAAACGTGGTACTGTGGAAGGAAACCGCCAAGTGGTTTAATGGCTTAACCGTGCTACCCACTCGCTAGAGTAGAGACCACTCTACTCGCTTTGTGAGGCCAACATTTCGTCTGTTGAATCAAACAAAAGTCAGTTGACCAGCGTAAGAAATCGGAGGAGGTGCTCACGTTACAAAAGGCAGTTCAGAATGGGCACCTGTAAGAAGAGAGAGAGAGTGTTGGCGAGTATAACGAAGAGCGTGGGGAATTGGGAATCCCCGGACACTCATGACGGAGAAGAAATAGATTTTTCAGTGTGACCTGTACATTAGTTGATACACTATATATTATTAAACAAATGATAAGATATGTGTACTAAAAAGTTAATAACTTAAAAAATAAAATTTTCCATCGTTCCTATTAAAATATGTAGTGTACCATTTATGTTCGATGATTGACACGTTTTGTTTGGGAAACCAAGGGCGCTCTCTTCCATTTTGGGAAGTGAGGTTTGGCTTTCTTTCTCAATCCTCATTGGTCTGCTTTCCGGCAAAAAAAAAAAAAAAAAAAAAAAATTCTCATAAAGAAATTTAAGAAACACAAATAAATATTTTGTGCGAAAATTATTTTGCTAAAATTAATAGGGTAAAGTACAAAAGACTACCTCAACTATTAGTGTTACAACATTTTCATACCTCATCTTTTAAAATTGACAATGTCATACCTCATTTTTAGAATTTGGTCTAATATTATACCTTCCGTTACTTGACCGTTTACTTTTCAGTTAAATGCTGTGGCTTGATTCGAAGCCCACTTTCTATTAAAAAATCATTAAAATATTATTAAAAACTAAAAAAAAATTATTTAATATTTTTTAAATATTAAAATAATAAAGAAAAGTAAAAAAATAAAATAAAAAACAACCCTCAGTTCGTCCCTCCCCCTCCCCTCCTCTCTTCTCCCTAGCTTCATCTTCTTCCCCCTGCAACCCCCAACAAAAAACAATAAAACAAAAAAAAAAAATCCAATTTGTCTTCCCCCCCCCCACACCCACCCCACTTCTCCCTCCTGCAACCTAGAAAAAAAAAAAAAAAAATCCAAATCCCGTCGGCGGGAAGATGGGTGCGTGGAGAAGGTGGAGGATGTGGAGAATGGATGAGGTGGTGGATTTGGGATTGGCAGGGGGTTAGGTTTTTTGGTTGGGGGGGGGGGACGAACTGGGTTCGTTTTGGATTTTTTTTTTCTTTTTCTTCTCCTTCTTCATCTTTCTGGGTTCCCGGGGGGGGGGGGGGATGAACTGGGTTGGGTTGGGGGTTTTTTTTTTCTTTTTCTTCTTCCTCCTTCTTTCTGGGTTGCAGGGGGTTGGGGGGGGGGGCGAACTGGGTTGGGTTGCATTTTTTTTCCTCTTCTTCTTCTTCTTCGGGGGGGAGAGAGAGGGGGGGAAGGGATGAACATAGGGATTTTTTTTTACTTTTCTTTATTATTTTAAAAAATATTAAATAATGTTTTTTTAGTTTTAAAATTTTTTTAATAGAAAATGGGTCCTCAATCAAGCCACGTCAGCATTTAACTGAAAAGTAAACGGGCAAGTAACGGAATGTATAACATTGGACCAAATTCTAAAGATGAGGTATGAAATTGTCAATTTTAAAAGAAGAACTATGAAAGTGTCGTGACACCAATAGTTGAAGTAGTTTGTACTTTACCCAAATTAATATTAGTTCTACTATTGTGATTGGATTTCTTATCTTTTAGGTAACGACTTGTTCACTTAAATTTTGTGTGTGATTGTTGGTCAGTTGTTGATTTATATGAATTCTATTTAAATGAATGATTGATAACTGACAACCATATAGTGAAAGACGATTTGAATAGAGATGCAAAGCAAAAGTTTATTTTGATCTCTATGTTTACTATATATGTACCAACTTAAAGAAAGTTTGCACACTTAATTAGTTCAAGCGAAGACTAGCGAAGACTAGCGTTGGTATCAACTTATTTTAAGCATGAAATCATTTTTAGCTATTCTTAAGTGATGATGCATATATATAAGTAATTGTGTTTATTTGACATTATAACTAGATGATTATTGTTCCCGATGTTGATGTGTTTGATTATATATATATATATATATATATATATATATATATATATATATATATGTATGTATATATATGATTGCTTGAATTTGATTTGTCTGGCTTATCACCGATTCATACTGAATTATGTTTAGAATTGAGTTTATAATAGTTATTTAGAATCTCGCAAATTTGAAGATACAGGCTGTCTCTATATTATTCTAGTTATTATTAAAGAAAAAGAATAATGTTGGAATCTGAAGAGATCAATTTAGATTATAATAACACTATATGTATACGCGCATGTGTGAGTTTGAATGTTGTCACATTTGATTATTTCATTTTTCGTTAATTAATTTCACATATACTAGTGGTTGACGGGTACCACGCACTAATAAAATGTGAAAACTACTAACTTATGTAAGATTCAAGCTTGAATACGCTTCTAATTGAATTATTTAATGCATTACTCACTAACACATTTGAACATATAAGGGTTGAATCGCAATAATACAAGAATAATAGGAGGGGGAAGATAGAACCTAATTAAGAATCTTATCGTCGGTGTTCACACTTTGTCTCTGTACTGTTCAAATACTCTCACGTACTATTTGTTCCATGTGAAATTGATATATGTGCAGTGGTGAAGCCTTTTTGTAATATATAATTTCCCGTTCACACTACCTTTTGTTTAAGTATGTTTAAAAATGATTTGTTTGACAAACCTAGGATTTGACTTCTATAAATCACGTAGAAGATACAAAAGGATCGAGGTCACTGGCCAAATGCCAGAACCCCTAAAGCAAGACCAAACCATAGGCACAAAGGATAGACTCGGTACTTCAGAACAGGTAAGAAGGACAAGCAGCGGAGCTGAAGTCGCCACCCTTAAGAACCAAATATCCTTACAAATCATCGGTGAGGACATGAGAGGCCATCAATGGAGAGGATGTGAACTAGAGCGGACCATATTCTAATGTATTGTTACAATCTTAGGATTTGATTTCCTGAAAATATAACTTTAGCCCCTGAAACTCAAGTTCTTTACATAAAACCCGACATAGTCTTTTTATTTGAATAAAACCCAATGACTAGGCTCTACATAAGCAAATTCATTAATTTTGTTTGCCTTTACACATTTTGCATTTTTTAGATGCCTAAAATACCCCTAATTACAATTTTGATGTAGACATTTAATTCTATGCAGATTTGAAGGGAGAGATTGATGAAAAAAAATGTAGTAATGTTTAAAATCATTGCATTAATATATCAAAACAAATTGTATGTTAAGGCAAAAAATAACTAATAATGTTATACTTTCCTTAAGATTTCGTAATTGTTTTTCAAATTTGCATAAAATTAGACAATTTTAATTTAATCTTGTCATTTTCTTACCAAATGAAAATCTGAAAGAGCACTATAAAATAATTTACCTATATTTAAAACCTATAGGTAAATTATTTGGACATGTGTATTAGTAATAAATTTGCCATGTATATGTTATGATACATGCAAAATAATTTACTCCAGGGTGCCCTCTTGGATGATTGTATGTCGTCTTCTTGACATTAATAAAATCGCTATCATTTCAACTCAAAAAAAAAAAAAAAAAACTTATAAAATAAAAAATGTTATTTGATTCAAAATAAATTTATCTATATTTTATATAAAAATATAGGTAAATTATTGCACAAATATATATTAGTAGTAAAATGTGCCCAATATATATAATAATACATGAAAATAATTCACCTACAAATAAAGGAAATTTGATTAAAAAATAATATATCTACTACTTTTTGTTTATGAATTTCAATATTTTTTTTATATTATAAACATAATGTACCTACAATATAATTTACCTATTGTTTAATCTTATAAGAAAATAATGTATCTACTGTTTTATTTTTATTTTTTTGTCAAATACGTACTGTTTTATTTTAATGGAGATAATTTGTCTTGGTATAATTTTTACGAAATAATTTAGGCACTACTTAACTTTACCAAAATAATGGAACTACTATTTTAATTTGCCTACAAAATAAATGCTATTTGATTCAAAATTAATTTTCTTATATTTTACATATAAATATAGATAAATTATTTTTAACAAGCATATATGATAACAAACAAAAAAAAACGCCTAATGAATGTAATAATCTAGGTAAAATAATTTACTTACATCATTAAAGAATATTAATTGGTTCTTTGTTGTTTTTATCAAATAATATTATTATTTGATGCAAAATAACTGATTGTACAAAGGATTTTTTTTTTCCGTACGAAAAATGTGCCCATAATTGTTTATGAACATGGCTAAATATATATATATATATATATATATATATATTATATATATATATATATATGTAATCCTAATATTTAGGGGTGTGATATCCACACACTCTTTTTTACTTCTCTTACACCCTTTTAATTTTCGGCCGTCGGATTGGATGAATTAAAGAAGATCAAATGATAGAAATTAACAAGGGGTGTGGGAGAAGTAAAAAAGGGTGTGTGGATAGCACACCCCAATATTTAGCATACAAGAAAGGTAAAATTTCCATATGGGGTTAATTGCTAATCATAATTAGGGTGAGTAATAATATTTATTGACATAATTAGAGTTTTGTGGCATAAGTTGTAAATATGTGATAATAA